AACCCAGCAGGCGTGGGTTCCTTCGAACCCACCTAGGCGCTGGGTTCCACCAAACCCAACGGTTCGGTTCCTTGCGAACCCAGGCGCTAGGTTCGCAAGGAACCCAAGCGTGCTAGGTTCGCGTCTGGTGTTGGGTTCACGTCTGGTGCTGGGTTCGCGTCTGGTGCTGGGTTCGCGTCTGGTGCTGGGTTTGTGTCTGGTGCTGGGTTCGCTGGGTTCGTGTCTGGTGCTGGGTTTGCTGGGTTCACTTTTGGTGCTGGGTTCACTTTTGGTGCTGGGTTTGCTGGGTTCGCGTCTGGTGCTGGGCTCGCGTCTGGGTTCGCACCGAACCTAGCATGCCTGGGTTTGGTGGAACCCAGCACGCTTGGGTTCGGTTCCTTGCGAACCCAGGCGTTGGGTTCGCAAGGAACCCAAGCGTGCTGGGTTCGCGTTTGGGTTCTTACAAACCTAGCATGCTTGGGTTCCTTGTGAACCCAGGTGCAAAAAATTTTTTAGAAAAAATTTATGTTTTTGTTTTTTGGATTTTGTTGTTTGATTGTGATGAAAAAATTGATTGATGAAGATGAAGAAGGCATTATTGCAGGTGTTAGGTGTTGGGTTCGATGCTGGGTTTGATTTGTCAATTTCGAATGCTAGGTTTTTGCAAGTGTTGGGTTCATTTGCAGGTGCTGGGTTCGAAATCGAACCCAGCAAGCGTTGGGTTTGAGTAGTTGCTGAGTTCCTGCAAGTGAGGCTCTGGGTTTCGTTTTGAACCCAGCAGCCGTTGGGTCAAATATCTATTGAGTTTAATCTGTTGATTTGTTGTGTTATCCTCGAATTTAATATTAGGAATTAGGGTTTGCAGAAGGTTAAAGGAAAGGGAGAGGAAGAAGAAAAGGAAAAAGGAAAAACAAACGAAGAAAAAAAAAAGAATAAGAAAATTTTTTAGATTTTTTTGCCATCTCTCTTTTTTTTTTCACACTGTACATCCTAGGTGTCAAAATGTTTTAACAGGTCATCGTTTTCCCCGTCAAGTAACGGGACACGTAGGTTGATATTTGACGGAAGGACCAAATCGGGGTAAAAATGGTAAACAGTAAGGACTAAATCAGGGATTTTTTTAGTTCAGG